ATATCCAATACAAATTGGCTGACCCACTAAAACCTAAATTCTAATCTACTAGTACGCTCAAATCCATTCATCAGAGCATTTACCATACAAATATTTGAAGTTAAAAGTATAACATATCCCCGCCATATCGGTGTGAAAGTGACTGAGGCCGAGATGCCAAGTCAAGATCGATTGAATTGCAGATCCTTCTTTGGATTTTGTCGAGAACCAAGAGATGAATAGCCGAATGAATAGACTAGATATAACAGCAATCTTCAATGCTCGGGTGAATGGTATGCTAACTAGTATGTTGATCATCTGATTCATATTCAAGTCAGGACATGATAAGGTATGTAAAGACATCTTTATGGTAAACAGGGTTTTTTTTTTTCTATTCTGGTTTGTATTCTTCACCTCCAGTGAAGATTAGAACCTTGATGGTAAATATGTTGTACACCTTACCAAGCTGCCAACATCTCGCTGTCATGTGTGTATGTATATAAAGAAAGAGAGAAATTGATTCGGATAAAAACGAACAGGTTGAATGACAAAGTTGTAGAATTGTCGTATTATTATTGTGCATTTGTAGAAATAAAAAAATGAGATTAAATCTATCAAACGTAGATTGACGAGTGCTTGAGATTTTTCGATTGTGGTGGCAACGATCGAAGCACCATCAGCCTTTTATTCATCCTCGGTCCTTGTCCATTAACGTCAGTCAGTATACATCCGGCCCTTGAGTCCCTCTCTGAACTCACTCTCTACATTCCCACGAGGATGTACAAACACTCTCCTCTCAGGGGTGGATAATATATATACCATTGTTTTGTTTTGGGTTTTTTTTTTTGTCTTTTTTACTCATGAATTCACATTATATGCGCAGCTGGGTCGATCACGTTATCATATATCGGAGCAGCCACAGACATCGGATGAACCGTGAATGTCCAGCTCCGGCAAGCAGGAAATAACTCAGGTCAACATTTCACCCGATTCTGCTGACGAACACTAAGGGGAAACCATATTCTGATATCATCTGGGGTGAGCCGCAAACTATAGAATAATGTAGCGATATACTGTAACAAAGAGTGTTTTTAACTTCCATGAAAAATATAAAAAAGTTTTAACTTCCACGAAAAATATAAAAAAAGTATATATTCTGCTCAAACTTTTCCAATGAGTTTATATATTTAAACTTTTTTTTATTAAATAGTAAAACAAAATTGTAAATATCTTGAGACAAAGCGGGCGATTATGTCCATTCAGAGATGACACTCACACTAACAAAACATAAAGCAGTTGAACATTTATTTACATTAGGACCGACTGTCTTCATAATTGCTGTTATCCCGATGTTTCGGCTGTTGTATCCACTATTCTTCGTTAGCTGGTTGTCGTTTCGCCACGCTTTCAGAGAATTTCGAATTGAATCTTTATTTAATCTCCTTGGATTAGACTTTTTCTCGTTCCGCAGTTCATTAAGGAGAATAATCCACGCCATAAATTGAAGAAAGGTTCAATTTGCATTTTCCATGAGTTTAGATGGTTAGACAAACACATGAAGACGGTCGGTTGTCACAACGAGGCAACACTTGTGATAATAACAAGAAAGATAAGAACAGTAGATATATATATAAATTGCATATATATATATACACACACACACATATATATATATATATAAGCAAACATATGGGTATAGATCCGACAGTATGAAGAAACATATATACAGAAAAAACAAAGAAAATCCTTATATACAATTATGCTGTTTTAATGTTAATATGTCAACGTCGGACGTTTCGGTCTAATAAACCATCTTCAGGACATATTCATAAATTATAACATTATCTTTTGTCATGTTGTATTGATAATGTTATAATTTATGAATATGTCCTGAAGATTGTTTATTAGACCGAAAACGTCCGACGTTGACATATTAACATTAAAACAGTATAATTTTATATATGATTTTGTTTGTTTTTCCGTATATATTTTTCTGCATATATATATATATATATATATATATATATATACACATGTACATTATATATATATATATATATATAATGTACATGTACATATATATATATGATATATATATATATATGCAATTTATATATATAAATTGCATATATATATATATTAAGAAATGGACAAAGTCCGACAGCTTATTTATTAAAGATATTTTTTATGTTTAACGTTCTTTTATAGATACAAGTATTTAAGTAAATGCTCTGTTTATAATAAACAGTATTAAATAACATTTACCGGTCTGAATGTCCGAGAAATTTTCATAGAAAATATTCGTTCTTTGACAGGATTCGAACCTGCATCCTATACGGAACCGTCATTTACGCTGACGTGCCTTATCGATCGGCCACAAAGAAGCGTTCGGTAGAAGAAGTCGAATTTACTGCTTATAAACTTCAATCTTCCATGAATCTCGGACATTCATAACTGCTCTAGCGTATCAAATGTAAACAAATGACGTCATATATTAAGAAATGGACAAAATCCGACAATTTATTTATTAAAGACATATAAAAAGAACGTTAAACATAAAAAATGTCTTTAATAAATAAATTGTCTTTAATATATATATATATATATATATATATATATATATATGTTGATAGATGAAGTTTTAGGATCTTGGTTTCACGTTTTAGCGATCGTCTGACAATCTGTCTGACATCTGTCTGACGATCGCTAAAGCGTGAAACCCAGGGTCACAAACTCACATCTATCCAACCAAATATGTTAGCTGCATCTCTGATATTGAGCGCTTTCTAATAAGTACTGCTCATATAATATATAAATAATTATACATACATTATATATATATATATATGTGTTGTGGTAGGATCCACCTAATTTGCATAGTGGAGTACCGACCATGTAAATATGGTTGGTACCGCGAAGAGACGGAGGAATCAAGAGATTCAACCAGAGACTGCCCGACTGCGACTCACTCAACACATTCTCCAGGAACTGTCTTACCAGGAATATACAAAAGACTATATGTAAATATTGTGTACCCTTTCTTGTTTCAATACATTTTGTTCTAAGTACATTTTGTGTTGTATTATTATTCCATGCATTAGTCAAGTTTCAACAATATATTTATTTATATTTATATTCACTTTTCACCCCTATATATATATATATATATATATATATATATATATATATATATATATATATATATATATATATATATATTAATTAGAAATTAGATCTTCCGTCCGTCACATCCTCTAAAATAGCCATGCATTGACGTGTCAAAATCAAATTTTGGGGAGAATTGCAATCAGATAATGGCTACAAAGTACAGTTTGTTTTACTAGGACACATAGCTGAGTACAATGTATTTTCATTAATGTTTTATTTTATTTTTTTTTTGTTTTATTATTTAACATGCATACTACACCTAATATTTAAAAAGAAAACAACTCATTGATAAAATAACAAATATTTATTTAATGAAGATGTAATATTGTTCTTTGCATATATTTTCTTTAAACTTTTATATATACAAGAATTCAGTTTCCACGTCGCCCAGCGCTAGTGAGAACTACAAACAGATTACAAGCCAAGCGCTTGAAAAAAGTTAGACTTTGGCTCCAGAAAGATATATGTCCTCACGGCCAGCTGTATGTTGCCTGGTAAAAAACCCTAAGAATCTATTCTTTACTGTTAAAAAGAAAGAAAAGAAATTTTAAATACTATTGTTTACCATGAAGTCGTATAAAATTAAATTAAATTCAAGAAATTATTAAACTTCGAAGTAGGGATTTTATCAAAGTATTTTCCCAAACAAATCATCTTATTAAAATTTCATCGATTAGTTTGTGAAATTGAATGTATCTGTCTATAATTCTGAGTTGTCAACGCTGACAAAATTCCGGCAATTAGTGCAGCCAAAACAGCACAAAATGTCCCTGTATTCCTGTGAATCTCGATTGGTCCGAGAGTAGGGCAATGTTGTCTGAGCAGCGCACGGCTTCCTTATGTCCTTGATAGGTATGCGCCCTGGAGAACCCACTCCAATCTCACGATACGTTGAATGGAAGAGTTGGACATCAGAGAACGAAGCAGGGTGAAAAAAAGAGAAATCCTAGATCTTCAGTTGACGTTTCAGCTGAAAATTGTACAAACAGGGAGCGCTCATTATATCGCGCATGGTAAACTGTGACCTGCTATTATTTATTAATATTTAATACTTACAAAGGACTTATATGCGTGTTTAATTTTTCTGACTGCCGCAAACGGGTTTAAGTTTATATTTATTATTACAATGGGTTAGACATTTCACATATATACCCATGCATGTAGGAAAGTAGTCCTTTGCAATCAATGTTATCTTGCTGCCGATGATCTGACAGTATTTGATTTGTATTGTAACCTAGAAAGGGTTACTGAATGAGGAATAACCAAAACGGAGGTTGGAAATGAAATGATAATCATTATAACATCAACAAAATAAGTGATGTAGGTAAACCACTGATAATGGTGGACTACATATACAACATATTGATTTTGCGAGCGTAGCTTAGATGTGGCACAAAACCGAAATTAGAGGGCACTCAGGATCAAACTCGTTACTCAGTCGTAATTGTTTTAGGGAGCCAAGCTTGCTAACCATTACACCGCCTCGAGGTGACCCTACATATACAAAATATTATCTCCATTTTCAATAGTATTTATGAGAATTGGGACATCCCCATTAGTGTTCATAAGTACTGTATATAGCAATTTCGTTGGTTGTTTTTGTTTAGAGGCATAGCAACAGCTCTATAGGTTATTGAATGCCAAAATCTAAATATTGTGTACGTAATTCTATCTTGTCTTTGGCGATAATAATGGTTTTAGTGATACAGGTCATAACTCGGAGAGAAGAGATCGATTCATACCTTTCCCAATGGTATATGCGTGCAACTGAATATAACCGGAATTAGAACTCGGCTCTCCGATTAACAATCCTGAGCCATTATCCATTATATCAACCGCACATCGAAGCTTAAAACACCTGGTATTCCCAAACGGTCACCCATGTAGGCACTGGCCATGCTCGACGATGCTTAACTTCGTTGATCGTACCGGTACCGGTGTTTCAACATGTTACAGCCGTAAATCGACAGTGTCTGAGACGGACTTATATTATAGTCAGTAACATTCCCCGGCCATTTATCTAGCAAGTGAAACTGAGATAAATGCAAGGTCATTGTTGGAAATTTAGACAATACATCGTGGAACGATTTTACCATCTTTACTCATTTTCTCATCTTCTCGAAACTGCGAGGAATAGACGGCTAAGAATGAAAATGCGATAACGCATCTCTGGTGTATTGTAAATCGAACTCCAAGGAACTCAGTATCAATTACATTTCCTATTAGCTAGACATTCCAAATCTCTGGAAAAAGAAGACGATAAACAGAAACATTGCATCTTGTCTGAATAATAAAAGCAGTCTAAGTGATAATTACGTCAACCCTTTGAACCCAGAGTTCTGACTACTTGTCGATACTGTTATCCCTAGACATTTGAGGTAAATTTCATTATTTCAGAACTGCTTGTGTTGCACAACAAATCAACAGTGAAGAACAGCAAATTCTTAGTAGAAAGTTGCTTGTATGAACAGCGTTATTCAACTTACATAAACTGTTTTATTCTTTTTAGTATGGCAGTGTGTTAAAAAGAAAGAAACGAAATGTTAAATAATATTGTTTACCATGAAGTCATATAAAATTAAATTAAATTCAAGAAATTACTAAACTTTGAAGTAGAGATTTTTTATCAAAGTATTTTCCCAAACAAACCATCTTATTAAAATTTCATCGATGAAATTGAATGCAACCTAGAGTTTGTAAACTTTCACAATATGTTTAATAATACTAAATAAAACAATACTGTGTGTTGCAAAAACATTCATGTTCCAGAAAAGATTAGTTTTTTTTTTTTTTTTTTTAGCTAAGCTTGAATCAGTCGGTGTAATTATTTTTATTAATTTATATGGTTCTTGTTAGTCCGGGCAGGCAGTCCATTTAGCGTAAGGAAAGTCGTGATTTCAAACACCCGCTGCTCTCCGTCTATATCCAAGCGTAGGATTTCTCAGAATCCTATAACCATCAGATTTTATGTTACTTTTTACGATTAATGGGTGAACATTTCTGGCCTAAAAACTATGAATAAATTGTCTTATTTTCCACGTATTTATTGTAGAAGCAAATTGCTTGTTTCTTACCGACTCGACAACTACATTGAAAATATGAATGTGTTACGCTATCAGTTTCGGAAGAGACATTAAGTTTTCCAGTATTTCATATCCTGTCTCATGGAAGAACCGCGCTGTTTCTAACCGATACATCCGAAACTGTACCTTTTTTTTTTTTTTACAGTTTATGAAACTTTCGTCGTTTCTTTAAAACCGGAAAATATTTCGGATTGTGGCATCCGGTGTCCCTAAGTAGTATGAATTATCACGGGGCTCGTCGCCGCTTATGCTCGTTGATCGAACGAAAACTGACGTTTTTAGCGGGAACAGAGAGTTTAAAGGGCAATTGTATCTTGTTGTTCATTAAGCGCTAATGCTATTGAAAAGGCATGAAACATCTTCCTAGAGATATGAGATAATGAACAGTCAGAAATGGTATATAGCTTTGGATAACCAACCACTCTAATAGAACATCTAATTAAAATTAAAAAAAGCTGCTCCGTCTTTTTCTTTCTTTTTTTTTTTTTTTTTTCCTCAGTACATACGGTACCTGTGTTTAGATAGGAGCTGCCTGGCTATTCATTTTCTCATATACCGGGTATCCATAAATTCCGTGTGCACTTTAAAAAATTTATAACTTTATTTGTATTTGCGATAGAAATAATTTGTAAAAAGGATTAGAAATAAATAAATCTATATTTTCTAAGCTTTTATTGAAATTTTATTTAAGTTTCCACATGTCCTCCATCATTAGCAATGCAAAGAGTAATACTATTTTGCAGTTCACGGAAAACATTTGCCATCTGATTTACAGTAATACCTGAAATCACATTAGTTATTTTAGCTATACTTAAAACTAGGTACATTAAACTTTATAACATTTTTTACAGATTATTTCTATCGCAAATACAAATAAAGTTATAAATTTTTAAACGTGAATGCGAACTGCATATTGCACTTAATGCCACAGAAATGGATAGAACCCGTTAGTATATGGAATGCAATTATATCTTTCTGTCACACTATCTGTTTTCATTTTGCAAAGCGATATTTCTTTTGTTCTCGCGGTGTATACGCCTGCAGATTTCTGAAGAGTAATTAGGCAAATCATTGTGCTGACAACCTCAAGCACGCGACCAAGATCTTCAGTTTTCAGGAAACAATGTTTAGAATTTAAATCCTCTTTCTTCTAGAAGATATAGAGAAATATTATGCTTGTTTTTGTTCGTTAAACGGCAAAACCGAAAAAATGACAGAAAGTAAATCTACATAAAAGGTTTAGCTTCGTATTTTCAATGTTGTTGTCGAGTCGATCAGAAATAAGCAATTTCCTTCTACAATAAACACGTGGAAAATAAGATAATTTATTCATAGTTTTTAGGCCACCAATGTTCACCCATTAATCATAAAAAGTAACATAAAATCTGGTGGTTATAGGGTTCTGAAAAAATGTCATTTATCAGAGGTCTATAAAAATCTGATGTTTATTATAGGATAATAAAGAAAATATGTTACTTACAGGTTTATAAAAAAATGGGATTTATTATAGGCTAAAAAGATATCTTTGTAATGACGAAAGTACGCAGGTGTAAGTTTTAAAAAAACATTATTCAACAGAAAATACAAGGTTCGCGTATAGTGTCCTTTTATACTCCCAGTAAACAGAAATAGCTCTCTCAATGAGGTAAGTAAAAAAACAAGGAAACACAACACTTGATTATTCATAACAATGGTATTTATCATCTGTTCACAGGAAATCTGCTGTTTATTAATGGTCTAAAACATTATTTTTAATTATTATAGGTTTGTTTTAATAAAAATCTGGTATGTATTATAAATTTATAAACATTTGGAAATTATTAAAGCTTTATTTAAAGAAGGTGGTATATATTATAGGTTAATAAAGAGTATAACGTTAATTTTAGGTTTCTAAATATACGATATTATTGCAAGTTTATACAAAATTTGGTATAGGTCCATAAACATTTACTATTTATTATAGGTTTATTAAAATATTGTGGTAATAATATGTTTTTCAATATTCTTGTATTTATTATGGCTTTTTAAAAATATTTTTTCCAAGTCTGTAAAAAGCTGGTATTTGTCATAAGTCGTTAAAATGGTGTTTGCTTCAAATTTATAAAAAATATAGTATTTATTATAGGTTTATAAAAATCTGGTATTTATTATATGTTTATAAAATCTGGTATTATTTATTGAGTTTTACCTGTAATAGATTAATGCCCACATTGTCATTTTAACGACGGTGGACATTAATGGTTTAAATAACGAATAATCTATACGTCTCCAGACCATAACACAACTTCTATATTTATTAGAGTTAAACTTCGTGGTTTTCCAAAAATATAGTTTTTGCATTCTCTTGTTTGCATTTTCCATCTTTTTTCAGTGAATATTTTTATTCATTCATTCTTATCATCGCATATTTTGTTTCGTTTTTCTTGATTCTGTTAAATTTAAAGCAATCAGAGTTTTTCACTTCCTTTCCCGCTTTTAATTTCATTCATTTTTCCATCTGTATTTCCTAGTCATACTGTCTTTCCTAAATTCAACACAATTATTATTTCATTTTAATTTTTCCTTCTACCGGTTCCATTAATTTTTTTCGTTTTTGTATTCTTTCTTTTTTTTATTTAGAGAAGTTCCCTTTCGACGTTTTTAATACTCTTTCTTTCTTTTTTGTTATCTAGAGAAGTTTCGACGAGCTACTTCCGCTTGTTCCCAAACGACATAAATGTAAGCATGCTACTAGGCTGGCAACTTTCCCACCCTTTTACTGTCGAAACTATTAAATGTAGCCGCCTCTTCTACTCCAATAGCTTTACGTCTCGCACTTCCCGTCTGTGAAACTCCATTCCTCTTACTTGCATCCCTGATAGCTATATTCTCCAACTATTCAAATGCATTGGTCTAATAACCCCTCCTTTTCTTCATCCTTTCCTCTCTCACGGCTCTTTAATTTGTCTCCCACTCTCTGTAAGCCATTGCGTGTTTGTGTCACTCCCGCTTTGGGTGAAATGCTTAAAAAATAATCTATGATAAATTTGCTTTACTTTCCTCCTCACTGTTATAAATTTTTCTCTTTCTATCTTTTCTCCATCGCAATTCATTTTCAATCATTACTTTCTTGTTTGATTGATGGATTTATTTATTTCCATGGAATAATTCCTACTTTGCTTATTTTCTCTATTCCATTTTTATCGCCATCATTTTCTTTTTCTTTTTTCTCCTCGTAATTCATTCGTAATTCGTTTTTTTGTTTTATTTCTTTCTTTTTTTTTTCGAAATTTTTCGTTATTTTCTTTTACTTTCAAGAAATTATTTATTTTCAATTGGATCCTTCATTCTTTCTTTCTTTTTTCAATCCTTCTTTCTTTTTTCTGTTTCTGACTTTTTTGCTTGCTTGCTTTTCTTTCTCTTTTTCTTCTTCCTTTCTACTGTTTTTTTTTTCTTTTTTTCGTTCTTTCTTTGTCCTTTATTTCTTGGTTTCTTTTTATCGGCATTTTTTTTATTAACTTTTACGTTTGGGCATCAATATTCTTCATTTAAGAATTTATTATTTATTTTGCATGCTTCAGGATTTCTAATGTATACTATTTCATTCTTCGACAGAATTCTTCATTTATTTATTTCATTCATTCTTTCTTTCTTTTTTAATTCTTTCTTTCTTTTTCTTCATTCTGTCTTTCTCGCTTCCTTGCTTTTTTTTCTCTGTTTCTGTTTCTTCCTTTCTACTTTCTGTTTTCTTTCGTTCCTTCTTTTATTTCTTTCTTTCTTTTTTTTGTTGGCATTTTTCTTTATTTCCTTGTACTTTTGGGTATCAATATTCTTCATTTAATTATTTATCAGATATTTTCTCTTGTTTTTAAAATTTTAATGTTTCTTTCTTCTACTA